TCAAATCCTCTTGCCCAGTAAGAGGCTGAGCTCCAGAGCACGCACTGGTGCTGGGGGCAGCAAAGGCCCCGTTACTGAGGAAGGGGTCTCAGCCGCCCAGCCGAAGCAGTCGCTGTACAGGAGGAGGAAAGCTGGCAGGGCCTGCCAGGTGCCAGGCTAGGCCCAACACAGACACGCTTGAGGCTTGAACTGCAGCTGTCTGCAGAGAATACGACCAAGTCTGTTTCCTGTTTGGTCAGTTCTGTTAGAGTTATAATCCATATTCGGGTGATTTTTCTGTATTAGGTTTCATAGTATTTAATATGGAAATCAATGAAAATCATCCATTTGCTGGAAAGTGGTGTTTGTCATTAGCTGTTGGTTTATTTCTCCAGTGTCTGTTCAGTGATTTGCCGAGAACTGTCCCTGCACTGAAGGTGGCCTGCTCAGGTCCTCTTGATGAGCAGAGAAGCCAGGGCGGTCGGTCAGAGTCTTGGGGGGAGGACTGACTGATGTCTTGATTTTGGTTGTAGCTGAGATGAATCACTTTCACAGTAACCGGATCTACGATTACAACAGCGTCATCCGCCTGTACCTGGAGCAGCAGGTGCAGTTCTACGAGACGGTAGGTGGGCGCCCCTTTCCTGCCTGCGCACGTGTGCATGCACGACGACGGGAGGCCCGCAGCTGCCTCTGACAACGGAAAGCTAATCTTTCTGTATTTTTTGATCCTAAGTAATAAACCCAGGAAGGTTTAGTTGGGACCAGGGTTTTGCTTCGCTTTGCTTTGTTTTGTTTTTAATCTCCTTTAATTCCATCTGCCTTTTCCTTTTTGAATAATACTGAGTTAAAAAAAAAAAAAAAAGGTTCTCTTTTGAAGACAGGGTATTGCTGCTGGCTTTGATGCTCCACGATGTTCTTATCATGCGGCTCCTTCCCTCCATCACGGCCTCTCTGTGCCTCTGTGCACAGGCAGCGGTGCTGAATGAGATGAGGTCACCCTGCCGCTCAGCTGGGGAGGGAGCCTGGCACCGCAGAGGACGCCAAAGGCAGCCTTTGTGAGCGAGGCTTTCACAGTGCACAGGAACCTCAGCAGGGAGGCAGAGAGCGGGCCCTTAGGTTTCCATTTAGAAGCAAGAATGGAAACTTAGACTTTCATACCTCAACGTAGTAATTTTGTTGTATACCAAAATGTAAAGAAAACAAAGGTCTTAAAGCATGTAAGTGGAAACTCAGACATCTGAAGAGGAGTTCTATGCTTCATCATTGACACTAGGGAGGGGCGCCTCCTGCAGGCTCTGGGGCACCCCCATGGGGAGCTCCATCTGTGGGTTAGAAAGGTCTCTCCAGCAGCAACATGGAGGTGCCAGAAGAGATTAGAAGCATAGACCAGTTAAAGGGTTTGAAATGTTTGTAATGTTTAACTCATAAAAGCCATAAATAATAGGATACTACGAAGCCACAGCAGGGGTTATATCTCAAAATTGTTTTGTTTTTTCGTCAGATTGCAGAAAAACTGAGGCAGGCCCTCAGCCGCTTTCCGGTTATGTAGAATGGAAGGGAACATGAAGAAAACTCTGAAGTGCTTCTTTCTGACTTGGGGCAATGCAATTCAAAATTTATTTTTATTCCTATCATCAAAAAAAAAAAAAAGATGCAAAAAACTACGTTTACTTTATTAACCAACCTAAATGCATCAGTTATTTAGGGATGGTCTTTTGTTCATTTCCACACCCATTATTTAAGCTAATGAAAATTGTCTCTATTTTTGGAAAGTACTTAAAGTTATTGCAATTTTGGATGGAAAATTAGGGGTTTCTTCCCACTGATATTTTACATAGAATCGTAATTTATAGTCACCCATGATCTTCCAATTCTTACTCAATGCCAGGTAATTATTACTAATTGCTTTCTTAAAAATATGAAATATGCTGGAATAAAAAATGTTTATATATTTTTATAACTCTCTTCAGTCCTTTGGGATTCCTGTCTATTTAGGAAAGTCTGCATCACTTTCACTGACACCGTTATGACTCAAGTGCACACACTTCAGGAGGGAGGATGCAAAGAGGGGTTCCTGCAGCTACCAGAACCCTTGGACACACAGTGCAGGGGCTGTCACGTGTCCCCTCAGAGGGCACAGCCTGCCAGACAAGCAGACTCACCTGCCCACCCACTGCCCTCAGGATCATTTTTGAGGTGTTGCTCTTCCGTGAAGACCAGCGCACGCTCTCTCTTCCTTCATAATCATGGTTAAGGCATGTTTTATGCTAGAAAGAATCAGTCAGGAAAGTTGGGAGTCTTTTTTAAAAAGTCTGTGGCTTTGCTCCCACGGATGGGCAGCCCTGCTGATACCTGGGCTCAGGAGGCTTTCAGGGGAAGGAGCGAGCATAGCTCCTCCAGACCTTTCACCCTCCGCCTTCTGTTCTGCAGACGCAGTGAGAAAGGCTGCTGAGAGCCTGACCGCACTTGATTTGGCTTATAGACCAGCAGGCCAGGTGGTGGGGTCAGAAAAGGCAAAAAGCACAGTATAAGCGCCTCTCCTCCCCCGCCACGTGGAAAAGTGCAGGGGCTGAGAAGGGCGGCCACCTGAACCATGTGCAGTCACCCCCAGGGCTTTTATGCTGAAACGAACAGAAGTCCAGGGTGAGGCTCCTCCTGACTGTGTGCTGAGCTTCAGACAGAACTTTTCTCATCACTGTACTTCAGTTAGTGGCGACAAGCACAACAGGATCTCGACAGCCTGTGGACTCTGAGTCTGAACACTCGCAGACGAATATGTCATCTTCCACAGTGGCCTTACTACCGTGTCTCCTACTGCTTTCCTTTTTATGACCTATTCGTTATAGTATAGAAAAGGAAAAGTCTGGGCCAGCATAAGCAAAATGAAGCCAAAAAAAAATAGATGAGGAAATAAAATGAGCACGAATATGAGAACTTGTTCTGCAGAATCACGGGGTTTTATTAATGTTTTATAAGTAATTTTCCCCACTTGATTTTTCTTTTATAAAATCCCATAGAACAGTGTTTATGATATAGCCATTTAATATATGTACAGATTGTAAAGAATATGTATAAATGTTTTACACAAATGTAAGAGCATGTAGAAGACAACATATAAATAAATTGTTAAAAAACTGTACAGTAAATTCTCAAAGCACCTTTTCAAAACACTTGTTGGTGTTTTTGTGTGGTTTGTTTGTTGTTGTTATTGTTTTTTATTCCAGCTGCTGAAAATGGTTCAGGTGATGAATTTTTCCCCAAAACATATTTCTTCTGACATGAATTAATAACTTTACTTCCTTAAGTCAGAGTTATCAGTCCTGGACCCATGTTATAATCACTTGGGAGCTTGAAAGAAACAAGCACTGATGCCCCGCACCCACCTCCCAGATGTCCTGATTTAATATGTTCAGACCAGGGCTGGCCTGGTGGCGCACTGGAGAGTGCGCCGTTTGGGAGCGCGGCGGCGCTCCCGCCAAGGGTTCAGATCCCATGTGGAGACCAGTTCCCGCTCACTGGCTGAGCACGGTGCAGGCGCAACGCCGAGGTTGTGATCCTGTTGCCGGTCCCCGGTACGGGCGCAACACTGAGGGTTGCAATCCCGTTACCAGTCAGTAAAAAAAGACAAAAAGGAAAAAAAAAAATGTTCAGACCAGATGTTCTGATTCGGTATGAGGAAGGGGCCAGGAAGATGAAAAAGGAATCTAGGAGTAGGAGACAGCGTGGGATGCTCAGCACAGTGGCAG